TACTATTTGATTGAAAAATTGATTTATAAAATTTTATGCTTTTTGGAAGTTTTCTGACCTACATAAGTCTGGCCTTGATTTATATTTATTTTATTTCCCTGAAGCCATAGTTTTCGAATGCTGCGGCGTTGTTTACAAAAATTTTTATCAAAATTAAACGATTAGTAAATCTATAATTCACGCCACTGCGCATCCAAAGGCAAAGGAAGTCTTTTTGGCGCTTTGTTTACCACGTGAAAGAATGCATTTCCTTCGAATCTTTTTTTTTGGAGAAATTTAAATGATCATTCTTAAACTTCTAATTATCACTAATTATAAGCACAGGAGGACAACATACGATATCTTTACTCCTTTCGGCAAGCATGTCATCGAAGAGGTCAAGCTTCACAAGCATATCCTCATCCACATCCGGCGCAAAATTATAAATTGTTACCATTCGACACGGCACACCGATACAGCGACACACTATAATCCACGTTACTTTCAGACAGGTGGTAATAATGAAATTGAGGCCAGTGTTTCGAATTGAAAATAATCAAAGATTTCTACAGCTTTGAAATTTGGATGCCTTTTTCTTTTCGCATCTCTCTTTGTTCTTGCTTTCTTTTCTAGAGAGCTAAACAAGAAACTTAATTCAGCTGAAATGGCGCAATACATACAAAAAACAGAAAAACCTTGCTGAGAGGCATTCCATCACAAGTTGTGTGCAAAGATGATTTATAGTAACCAACTACACCAAATATGCTACAATTATAAACTAACGAAACAGAAACATATGTCAGAGAATCCTATATTGGCCGAGATTGCAAATTCGGAACTGAATTTGAGCATCATTCCTTTGTCAAATCATCTTCATAACTGGTGCTAGGTTAAATGTATATCGGCAACAGGTAATTTCGTTAATAAGCTAGCTTAGAATGAACAAGTTATAGAATGCTTCAAGAACTGGCTCTTTGGCTGAGTTTTTGCAGAATAGCAGCTGTATAGGATGTTACGTACAGGACGTTAGTAGACCAGCGTAGCACCAGGAATGTCCGTAACCAATGCGTATGCCCGTTTTTCCGTGAGCTACCAAAATCTCCTTGCTACCAGTCCACGAATTTTCCAAATTGTCATATTTCGTTTTTAGCGTGTCCTGTTCAAGCTCATTCCACCGCGTTTCCAACACATATTTGCTTATCTGTGAAATAGTACTGCTGTAAAAAATGGCCGGAAAATGAGTGAAAAATCCTAACTGACTGAGAAATCTACAAAAATATTTTCAGTTTTGGCAATAAAAAGTGGTTTTTCCGAAAAAAAAAAATATATATACATATATATACTTACAGCCGTAGCAAGTGCTTTAACGACGGCAAAAGCGGATCCCAACTGATCTGCTTTCAGTGACTGATCCTTCTGACTAAGAGACAACAGAATTAAGACGGATTGCAAGCAGACGGCACTAAACTGGTCCAAAAGCCAAGCATCTTTTCGGTGCCACTTCGGTATTATAGCCAACTCGTTCAAGACATATTCCTCCAAATCGGATTTATCCGGATAAAACGTTTCGTCACCTGGAAAAAATTTCTAGTTCCTGAGATTGCCAACAATCTTTGATGTTATTATATGCGAAAAAACGAGAGATTAAATTGTCTTGGCAAGCAGTTTTAGACAATACCGTTTTGTAACTTTAATATTTCTAATTTTTAACTTCTTTTCTATTTTTTAAAATTTCAGACCAATTACGACAGTTTATAATTTGCTTTTATTATGATTTTTTCCAATATTACTATTAAAAAAATCTTCCCAATAAATGAGTGATTTTGGACTTTAGCGCACGTTGTCAAGTAAACCGTTACCAACCGCTAGTAATGAATATTTGGCACCGATTCGCTTAATACCATGAGTTAATAGGTGAGTTTTTACACTGAAAGTCATCATACCGGCTTATTATCCCCAATAAGTAGCGCTAAGTTTTTATTTTTTATCAAAAAGTAGTGTATAGGTCGATTACCTTCGTTCCATGGGTTGAACAATATGCACAGGGTGTTGCAGCAGAGAACTGATGCATCCGCATATTGAACAGACATTTCCCAGATCCCAACAGGAATATCTGGCGGTGTCATCACCTGAAAGTATGATTTTCGTGATTTAATTTGCAGCTCTGCCTGGGCTGATATCAAGAATTATGCCAAAAAAACGCCAATTCCTTCTTTTTTGATAGTAAAATGGTACTGGCTTGTGCCAGGAAGTGAAAAAACCGCCATCAGTTTGCTTTCAAGCAATCCTATGAAGATCGGCATTATCAATAGTTTCACTCCAGCGGTAGTTGTTGACATTTGCTATCATGCAGGCAACTTTCAAATGATTCCGCATTATGTAACAAGCAAAATATGATAAAACTGATGGAAAATAAGAATGAATGAAATTATGAAAACTTTTTAAACATTCTTTTATGAATATGGGCTAATTTTTACGATGGGGAAATCAGCTGGTATTATATCAAAAAAGTAATGAGAAAAAATCACGCGACCGTTTCTGTTTGAAAAATGCATGTCTTACCTCAAACAAAGCTGTATTTGGTGTCAAAATTTTGTAAGTTGCGACCCACGTTGACTTCGGTTGCTTGATTGAGTCGTTGTATTCCGCTGCCGATACGGTTGATTTGTAACCCGCCATTTCTGATATTTTAAAATATCTCGTTTAATTCAGTTTTTCACTGCTCTGCCTGTCCCAGATGGTAGTTTCTTGTTTACAGCGATAATATCACGAATACTGATCCGTTTCAGGATTAATGAGATATAATTCATGTGTGATGATAAAAGAAAAAAAAA